GCAATGTACCCCATGGTCACTTACTCTCCAAATTTTGGCCTGGTGGAGATCTCTATAAAAGCTTTAATCTGCTGCAAAGAAACTTATTTAATGAGACATGAGAGCTGCCCTCAGGGGTGGGTGTAAGGATAAGTATTTAGAATACAGTTGGAAACTATATTGATTTAGCAAAATGGCAGTAGTGGGTATTCAAATAGGGGTTTATGACCTGTGCAGTCATGGCTTCTTGGCTAGCCTTATGGTAGCAAGCGTGAGTTTCTTTCTATTGAGCGGGCCTTTCATCTAATTAGCTGTTGGTTACCCCCACCACAGAAGTGCCACTGTTTCACCATCAGGGTATCTTGCTGGGTTCTTGAGCTTTACAGGCAGATAGGACTGTTAATAACGTTTCTCCATTAGCTTACAAAGCACCTTCCTTCTTGGAGGAGGCTTCCAGGTCAGTGCCCACTTGCTTCCTCCAAGTCCTGCGATGAAGTGTGTGCTGTCTTCAGCAATAAGGTCTTAATTAAGTCCTGGGAGGGAACTGAGAGCAACCTATTATGAAAAGCAGGCTTGGAAGCCCCGAAGGCAATCTTGTTAAAGTGGCACAGACCTTCTCACGGGTTGAATTGGCTGACAGGACTTCTGGGAATTGGGACATTCAAGCCTGCACCTGATAATGCATTACTTCCCTTTCTCATAACAGTGACATAAACTTGACAGAAGCAACCTAAAGTCAGGGAGGTTCATTCTCACTCTCATACAGCCATTATAGCAAGGAAGCCATGGCAGCTGGCGCAGCTGTCTGGCGATGGGAGTTTGCAGGGCAGGAATGACTGATCAGGAAGGACAGAGAACTGGAAGCAGGGCCTGGCTATAATCAGCAAGGTCTGACAATAGTAGCCGATGTGCACCAGCTGGGAACCATGTGTTCACTCACATGGGCCTGTGAAGGGGACCTTTTTATATCCGAAGGGTTAAGAGCTTCTGTTATCTTTCAGGCCTCATCCTGTGGCCACCTGTCCTCCACACTGTGCCTTTTGCATCTATATTGTTTCTGCTCCTCTTCAACTTTTACTCCCTCACAGACAGTAAGCAAATGCCCTAGATAAGTAATAAGGCTTGATGGAGTCCACATGCTAAAAGGAGTTGTTGTGAAGGCATCTTCAAGAACACTTAATCAGCACTGTGTGTGTGTGTGTGTGTGTGTGTGTGTGTGTGTGTGTGTGTGTGTGTGTGTGCCTTTGAACCTCCAGGAGGTTGTGGAGGTTCAAAGGCAGCCTCAGGTAGTGTCTCCTCAGGCACTTGCCATGCACCTTTTAATTTTTGAGACTTGCCAAGGATGTCAGACCGGCAGGCCCATGAGCCTCTGGAATCTATCCACCTGATTTAATTAAAATTTAAACACTGTGGCAAGGCAGCTTACAGAAGAAAGGGTTTATTTTGGAATAAGAGTCTGTTGTGGTACAGCAGAGGCAACAGGTGGCAAGCGTAGCGGCTGGAACAGCAGCTGAGGGTTCACCTCTGAACTGCAAACAGGAAACAGAACTGGGCCCACCTCCCATGACGTACTTCCTCCATCAAGGCAGTACCACCTAGACCTACCCAAACAGCTGGGTATGAGGTTTTCAAATGCCCAAGACTATGTGGGACATTCCATCCACACCACCACTACCTGTCTTTGCCTTCCCAGCACTGGGATTGTTAGGTGTGCATCACCACACCCGGCTTTTCTCTCTTGGCTTCTTGGGGGGTGGGGGTGAGCAAGTTCTCATGCTTATGAAGTAAGAACTCTGCTGTTGAACCATCTCCTCAGTCCACAACACTTCAGCACTTTAGACTGGAAATTTTCTGCATTGCTTTCAAGTATACCCCTGCCCTGACCTCCTCCCTCTCCTTCCCCCCCCCACACCTGTTAGTCATGGAACAGACCTTCTCTAGGTTGTCATAAGGTTGACTTCCAGTAACAGGAGTCACACCATCACTGTCAAGACAGCATTCAAGGCACACAGGTGTGCCCCTTCTTACACTCGTGGAATTGCTGGTATTTGAACAACTTGGGAAGGCTAGATGTGGTCTGTCTATTCGTATACTTCTGGACCTTTGAGTCATGGGCATGTTGAGTGGATTTCACTCACTTTGTTTT